GGGGAATAGAAATACCATATAACCTAGCAATCCCCTTATTTGATATATATTAGTAAGTAACATGTGCCAGGACACCAACAGATATATGTACACTGATGTTCACATAGTACTATTCAAAATAGGAAAAAAATGGAAGAAACCTAAGTGCCTATCAGTGGAAGAATGGATAAGCTGATGCATACACACAATGGAACATTATACCATGCTGAAGAATACCCATCATTCTGCAAAACACCTCATAACAGAGATGAACCTGGAGGACTTGCTGAGTGAAATTAGTCAATCACAAAAGGGCAAATATTGTATGAGACCATTATTGTGAAAAATTAGTATTTTTTACAAAAAGAAACATTCTTTGATGGTTATCGGGGTGGGAGGGAAGGGACAGTAAGTTACTGGGTAGAGGGTAGGCACATAGTTTGAGTGATGGGGAGGGCAATATACAAGCAGAGGGAAAAGTGGCAGAAGAATGACTATAGTTAAAGACATGGGAGTATGCATGTGCTAAGTGGGATAGAGGTAAACAGTGATATATACACAATTTTTGAGCCACAGTATTGTGTACGTAGATACATAGATTGAGACATAGGTTGAATCGGTTGGGGAGGAAAAAAGGGATATGTATGTATGTGGTGGTTGTGGTGATATGCCACTTGAGTTGGTTCTGACTCTCAGTGACCCAGTATAGGGTTTTTGGGAGCAGAAAGCCTCTTTATCCTGCAGAGAGACTGTAGATTTGAACTACTGATCTTGTGGTTAACAGCCCAACTTGTAATCCACTATGCTTAACAGGGCTCCTTATATATGTATGTATGTGGATGGATAGAGATAGATAGATAGATAGATAGATGTATGTGATGGAGCTTCCAACAGGTAAAATGACAAAAAAAAACCTTCCTAGATATTAATCAAACATCTTAAGGCTGAGTTGCTAGGTCAGTTGGCATAACATAGTGCACAAGGACACTATTCTGCATCTTACTTGGGTGAGCAGTCTCTGGGAACCTGAAAGCTCTTGAATGACCCTCTAAGGTGCAGCTATTGGTTTTTCCATGAGTGCAAGAAAGATGAGTGGTAGAACTGAAGAGGCTTGGAATCAACTAGTCCATGGACTAATGGAACATGTGAACATCTGTCTCCATAAATCTGAAATCAGAAGAACTAGAGGGTACCCCTACTTTGTTGTTGTTAGGTGCCATTGAGTAGATCCCGACTCATAGCGACTTTATGCACAGCAGAATGAAACACTGACCGATCCTGAGCCAACCTCACTACTGTTGCCACGCTTGAGTCCATCGATGCTGCCACTTGGCCAATCCATCTCTTTGGGGGTATTCCTCTTTTTCTCTGACCCCTCCACCCTACCAAACATGATATCCTTCTCCAGAGACTGGTCCTTCCTGACAATAGTATGAGAGACCAAGTTTGGCCATCCTGGTCTTCAAGGAGCACACTGGTTGCACTTCTTCCAGATCTGTTCATTCTTTTGGCAGCCCATGGCACTTTCAATAGTCTCCTCCAACACCATAACTCAAATGCATAAGTTCTTCTCTGATCTTCCTTATTCACTGTTCAACTTTCACATGCATATGAGGTTATTGAAAATACCATGGTCAGGCGCACCTTAGTCCTCAAGCTGACATCTTTGCTCTTCAACACTTTAAAAAGGTCTTGTGCAGATTTGCCTAATGCAATACGTCGTTTGATTTCTTGACTGCTGCTTCCATGAGTGTTAATAGTTGATCCAAGAAGAATGAAGTCCTTGACAACTTCAATCTTTTCTCCATTGATAAGAATGTTGTTTATTAGTCAAGTGGTGAGGATTTTTGTTTTCTTTACATTGAGATGTAATCCATACCGAAGGCTGTGCTCTTTGATCTTCATCACTAAATATTTTAAGTCCTCTTCACTTTGAGCAAGCAAGCTTGTATCATCTGCATATCGCAGGTTGTTAATGAGTCTTCCTCCAATCCTGATGCCACGTTTTTCTTCATAGAACCCAGCTTCTCAGATTATTTGCTCAGCATACAGGTTGAATAAGTATGGTAAAAGAATACAACCTTGTTGCACACCTTTCTTAATTTTAAACCATTTAGTGTTCCCATGTTCTCCCTACTAACTGCTCTGAAAGGGATCACATTAGAAGGTCCTGGATAGACTGGGGGAAAATATGTAGAAAAACTCAAAATTATTTAATAAAAACAGATTTACTGATCAAAAGGAGACTGGAGGAACCCGAGACTATGGCCCTTGACCACCCTGGAAAGAAAGTCACTTTCTTCAAAGTAAGTCATAAGAGGGGATAAAACTAGTAAGGTATGCTGACCATGGAATGATCAATAACTCACAATCAAAAGGGCAACATTTTCCTAAGGACAGACATTGAGAGGGGCTGGGGAGGTGGGTGGAATACAAATAGGAACCACAGGGAGAAAGCAGAATAACTCTTGTTGCATGGAGGTGATTGTAATCATTAAGATGAATAAAAGTGTGATTTGTTGATATAAAGCTGATGATCTTGTATGTGAACCTTCAGTATAAATTGCACCTTAATATAAAGAAAAAATGTTAAAAACAACAAGGACGTGGAATGAGGGCTATTGTTGATGTCAGATGGATGTTGGTTGAAAGCAGAGAATACCAGAAAGATGTTTACCTATGCTTTATTGATTATTCAAAAGCTTTCTACTGTGCGGATCATGACAAGCTATAGACAACATTGTGGAGTATGAGTATTCGAAATACCTAATTGTGCTCATGAGGAACCTGTACATAGACCAAGAGGCAGTGGTTCAAACAGAACAAAGGGACACTGAATGGTTTAAAATCTGGAAAGGTGTATACTAGGGTTGTATTCTTTTAATACACTTACTCAATCTGTATGCTGAGCAAATAATCTGAGAGGCTGAGTTATGTGAAGAAGAGTGTGCCATCAGGATTTGGAGAAAGACTAAATAAACAAGCTATGATAAGCAGGTGACACAACCTTCCTTGCTGAAACTAAAGAGGACTTAAAATACGTACTGATGAAGATCAAAGACCAGTCTTCAGTATGGGTTGCACATCAATGTAAAGAAAAAAATCCTCACCACTGGACCAATAAATGACATCAAGCTAAATAGAGAAAAGATTGAAGTTGCTGAAGACTTCATTTTGCTTGGATCCACTATCAACACTCATGAAGGTAATATTCAAGAAATCACACAACAATTGCATTAGGCAAATCTGCTGCTCAAGACCTCTTTAAAAGTGTTTAAGAACAAGGACGTCAGTTTCAGGACTAATGTGCATGTACCTGACCCAAGACATGGTATTTTCAATGCATGTGAAAGTTGGACAGTGAGTAATGAAGACCTTAAAGAATTGATACATTTGAGTTATATTAAAAGAATATTAAAAGCACCATGGACTGCTAGAAGAATAAACGAATCTGTCTTGGAAGAAGTACAGCCAGAATGTTCCTTAGAAGCTAGGATAGTGAGATATTGTTTCTTGCACTTTGGACACATTATCAAGAGGGGAGAGTTTCTAGAGAAGGACATCAATACTCAGTGAAGTGGAGGGTGAGTGAAAAAGAGAAAGACCTGTAACGAGACGGTTCAGCACAGTGGCAGCAGCAATGGGTTCAAGTATAATTATGAGGCTGGCGTAGGATCGGGCAGTGTTGTGTAAAAGGGTCACTACTGAGTTAGAACTGACTTGAAGGCACCTAACAACAATATCAGCAGCAGCCAATTCTATGACCAGTATGATTGTGAAGGTGACAACAGGTAGAATTAAGTTAGAAGTTATTTACAGGTAGCTGCTCACAGACTCATTCACATGATTTCCAAATTATATTGTAATGAAATTTCCATTTAGATTTTCTATGCATTGGATTCTCATTGGAACAGTTTAACTCAGTCACCCACTGTAGATATCACTGAAGATTGGGAGTTACCTGTCATGAGAGGTCTTTGCATTACTGTACCTGACACATGGAGTCACTCAATAATCAATATTTATTTGGTAAGTGCTTAGTGTACTTGAAGATTCTATCAACTCAATCTCTGCCAGTCCAAATAATTGTGATTCCTTTAATCTTGATAAATCATTTAATATTTTACAGTTTTAGCTAAATGCTCATTTTGCATTCTTGTGGTAGCCATCCCCAAAGTGGTCCCAGTTATTCTGATTCCAGGTATCCATGTCTCTTATGTATTTATTGATACCTTTGTCAAACAGGTCTAACTCCTGTAATGAACAGGGGTTATTGTAGTAGTGACAGAGTGTTGTCCCCAATGCTAGGTCAAAAGTCCTTGGGACGTCTGCTCAATTAAGCCTATGAAGTTTCCTTTCAGTATCTACGTACCTATACAGCCCATACTCTTGTTTTCTTTAGCAGAATGATTTGTTTCTGATTACTCACTTTAGTTTTAAAAGATAATTATCCTGGCAAACTAGACTCATTTGTAAATTTAATAAATATGCTTTACACTTCCATTTCATAATTTTAAATCATGGATGTTATGTTGTTATGTTAAGTACCGTTGAGTTGGTTCTGACTCAGAGCAACCCTGGTGGGTTTGAACTGTCGACCTTGTGGTTTGTAGTCCAGTGCTAATTCTACAGGATAAGAAGACATTCATTGGGTCTTATACTGATTACAGCAGTTCTGATACACAATACTGAGTATGTTTTAAGATTAACAATGAGCCTACGATGATTTTAAGGTTACAGTAATCTTCAGGTTACAACATTAAAATATCTGGAAATACAATGAGTGTGACAAATGAGGTAAATTTGATCTCACTTCCCTCCACTTATCCTATCTGTTGCCATCACTAGAGAATACAGACTTAAATATCTCTTAGTATTTTTAAAGCATATATCCCAGGATTCAGCTTTAGAGTGAATTTGAAAACAATGACAAAATTCGCAAGTTGTGAAAAATACCCTAATTGCATCTTCTTTAAGGGGGAGGGGGAAGTGACTTCCTTAATTAAACAACCAAGGTATGACAATATGTCTTTATTTTTCATATATGGTTCCACTGCGGGTAACTATTCAGAGAACACACTGCTATAATACAGAACTGAACAAAAGCATTTTAGCATGCGGCCTTGCTGTACAGAGAAAACTGGTGAACGTCTTCAGACTCTAAGACTAAGAAATGAAATGGGTTAATTCTGTTTGTTGGTATGTTTATGAATCACTCAGCAGTGTAATACGCTGCCTTTTCCTGAAAGCAGAATTACAATCACTCTGGCTGGCTCTGGGCAATTTAAAAATGCAGGCCTAGTGGGTACAATGAGCAAGCAAGAGACAGATGCCACATCTCCATTCTGAAGAGAGATAGATTTGGAGTCTGGCTCTGCATATTTTAAAGCTTGATATGGCCTTCTTAAAGCGTAATGCTGAGTTTCCCTTATCACACAGATTGGCAATCAGCACTGAGAACTTCTGAACCATTAACTGAATACACCTACATTTAAAAAGCAGAACACTGTCCACATAACGGAGTTGCTTTCACACTTTTGCCCAGTTCCCCCCTGCCGTCCTGCAAAAACCCTTCATCTGATGAGTGTTAGTGAAAGCCTCTAGCAACTGTAACAGGCCTTTCTCAACCCAGGTCTAGATATTAAGTATCAGAAAGAAGTGCCTGTGAAGGAGAAGTGTTCACAGGAAAATGGCAGTATTTCTACTGGAGGTACGTGTCAAGTTTCTTCTTGATGTTGTCAAAGGAATCTGCTCCCATGTAATCAGCTTGGCCCTGTTCCCACCGCTCCTTCCGCTCTTCTGAGGATACAAAAGGTTCTGCCACAGCTGGGATCACCCCAAGGGACAGGTGTGACATGGCTCCTGAAACCTCTTCCTAGAAGGAGAGCATAATCAGAAACTTTGAGAACTGGAAATCAGACCATGTTAAAGAATGCAATAAACTGAAGGATGGACTTTCATGCAAAGTAGCAAAAACTGAAAAATATTACATGAAACGAACAAACAAAAGACAGGAATACAAGGGTCATGATATTTTCCTAAGAAAATGAAGACTTCTTGACTCAGTGAAAACATTGGGAGAACAAATTAGGGTTAATGCTTAAGTTCTGCATACCTTTCTACAGAAGCCACAAGAGAAAGCCAGTGTATAGACCAAGTCTGAAAGCTGCAAACAGTTCATTAGAAAGTGTAAGATGGATGGAGAAGGGAACACAAATCTCATGATAAATTCTTGATCTGTGTGGGCTCGGAAAGGTTGAGAACTTAAACAAAATGATACTTCAGAGGCTAAACTTCAGAAAGAACCTAACCAAAGAGCCACACCACATTAATACAAGCTGTCACATAATTAGAACGAAAAGCTGAATGATTTCAGACTATGTACCAAACTCATTTGCCTGTTCAAGCTTTCATTTGGATTACCGAGTAGCCTCTATTCTTGTAGCTTCTGTTAAATTAATCTGCTTAGTTCTGAACAACTTTCAATTCTCATCTTCACCTTTCCTTGGTTCATATTTCTCAGTCCTTGGATTGCAGAAGGAACAGAGTAAAAGTGCAGGAAACAGAATAAACCTATTCTACATTAAATTTGATCCTTATTATATATAAGGTTAGCAATAACTTCAAACGTACCATACAAAGAATAGCAGTGCTATCTTTTTAAAAAAGTTCTGAGGTGAGAAGGTACTAGAAATCTTAGCAGAGAGAGAGGAAAGCAAATGAATACATAATAGGCATTGCTTTTAACAGAGAAAATGGGTTACTCTCAGAAACAATTTTGTTGACCTGTTTTTAAGTGTGTATGTGTGGATTTAAACATACTAGAACTATAAGGTATCTGGATAGATTTCATGGGATTCTATTATAGCTGAGGCCACATAATAAGCCCTTTCCCTGGCTAAGCCTCACGTTAGCCTTCCACTTGTAGCAGGAGTGATATGGGGAGGCCCTTCCTGCCTCCTCTGCTCACAATGTGGGGACTAATGACTCAGAGAATTTCCCTGGGAGAGAAGTCCTAAAGGTTATGCCAACTATGCTGGATCCAATTTAAGAAATTTCAGTTTTTAAAGTGTAACATCCTCCCTGCCACTCCCCAAAGTGCTATATTTAATTCTGGCTGCGGAGGAATACTTTAAGTCTTTCAAACCTGACTAGTCTGTTACAAAACTAATAAAATGTGTGTAACTGCTTTAAGCCTCAGTTAACTTGTCTACAAAAATGAGATATTAATAATAGTACTTATTTGATAGGGTTATTAAGTGCCCAGTTTACCAAACAAGGAGAAATGGTGGTGCCATGGCTAAGCGCTCTGCTGCTAATAACCAAAAGGTCAGAAGTTCCAAACCAACTGCACTGTAGGAGAAAGCGATGGAGGGCTGCTTCCGTAAAGATTCCAAAGCCCAGACCCACTGCCGCTGAGTCTGTTCTGACTCATGGCACTCTGTAGGACTGAGTAGAACCCTTCCACAGGGTTTCCAAGGCTGTCAATCTTTACAAACAGACCACCACACATTTTTCCTGGTGGTTTCGAACCCCTGACCATTTGGACAGCAGCTGTGCTTACCCACTGTATAACCAGGACTCCTCCTGTTATAAGTACACCCTTGGGAATCATCTGAGGCCGGTCCGACTCTGTCCTATAGGATCACTGTGCGTTGGAATAAACTCCATGGCAACAGAACTGTTAAAGTTTGTTTTTTGCCAAGGACTGTTACAAGTGCTGTGATGTACAAGCATTTTTTTTCACAATCCTATGAAACACTGGATTTGGATACAAATGCTAGTAAGTGGCTAAAGTTTATATCACAGAAAAGAGAAAGATCTCTTAAACCTTATAATTTCTTATAATTATAGTCAAGATAATAAAGTGATCAATTAGACTTGATTATAATTCATTAATTTCTCTTTATATTTTCACATGTAACATAATAGTTTAAATCTTCATTTCCCCCCAATTCTTCCAAAGTAAGAAAACTTAAGAGACCTTTAAAATCAGAAAAGATGCACTTGCAAATTGCTATTATAACTGTCAGCATCTTCTGACGGACTCCTATGCCAGCATCCTACAGTAACCACAGGAGGAGCCCTGGTGGTGCAGTGGGTAAAGCACTTGAACACCAATGGAAAAGGTCAGCAGTTCGAACCTAGCAGCTGCTCCTCCAGAGAAAGACGTGGATGGTCTACTTCTGTAAAGATTGTTGCAAGTGCTGTTGAGTTGGTTCTGACTCGTAGCAACTCTATAAGGCTTCTGAGGAGTGGCTGGTGGGTCTGAACTGCCGACCTTGTGGTTCAAACCGACCTTGCAGTCTAGTGCTACACCAGGACCCTGAAACTCTGTCCTTGTTGTTAAGTGCCATGGAGTCGGTTCCAACTCATAGTGGTCTGTATAGAATTTCTGAGGCTTTAAATCTTCGTGGGAGCAGAAAGCTTCATCTTTCCCCCATGGAGCAGCAGACTAGCTCCAACTGTGGACCTTATGACTTGCAGTCCACCGTTTACCATATGGAGCCACTGTACTCCCACTGCGTCCTATAGGGTGACTATCAGTTTCAATGGACATTTTGGCCAAGATTTTGGTCTGAAATTGTTTTTTAAAATAATAACCACAGAAGAAGAAACCTAAGAAGCCCTGGTGGCACAGTGGGTCAAGTGCTGGACTGCTTACCACAAGGTCAGCAGCCACCAGCCGTTCTGAGGGAGAAAGATGAGGTTGTCTGCTCCAGTCAAGACTTACAGTCCCAGAAACTCTAAGGATTAGTTCTCCTCGGTCATATTAGGTCACTGTGAGTCCGAATCAGCTCAGTGGCTGTAGGTCTAAACCAGGAAAGCAACATAATCCCAGAAAAGTGTGTATCTTCATGTTAGTGTGACTGTTACTGCAAACACATACTTATAAGCAGATGGCAAATATAAAACAGGGAGGTTGTTAATGTTTGTCTTTTCCAAAACATGAAATGGGGCATTCATTTTTAGGAGTAATCTTAGTCTTCAGAGGACAACAGGCTAAAAGTTTAGAGTTATAAGATAATATGTGTACAAAAAAACTGTCCTTTCGCTCTCAGAGCCAAGGGGATTGGTCACAAAACCGCCTCTACTTCAGTTTTTGCGGATCATTCTCCTAAATTGGTCATTGTTTTAATTCCACAAAAATGTATCTTTTTGTTTAAAATATCACCCAATATTTCCCATTTCTAATTATGTATCAAATTTGAAAAAAATACAACATACAAAGATTTAAAGAATAAAACCGAACCTACCACATTTGGGCATGAGAAGGTGTCTTTGACAAGGCCAAATTGTTGCAGCAGAGGTAAAATGTTGGTGGTGAAGATGTCCCACCATGTGTTGAGGAACTCAGGATGAATCATGGTTGGGTCATGGGCATCACTTTCCACACTTCTTGTTTTGGGTTCATAAGTATAATTCCATGGTTTGACTTGTCCCAGGAAATGTACAACTTTGGCATTTGCACCAAACCTGCCAGTGAACACAAACTGGTTAGTGAACTCTGAGCCCTATCAAAAAGCAAGCACCTTGATGGATAGCCGTAACAGTGCACCTTCCAGCCTGAAGTCATGATTAGAAAAGAAACTGAGCTGAGAAATTGTGACACCCACACTTACTCATATTATTGGACAGTATTTGAATTCAACTGAGTGTTAACTACACTAGGGAATTAAAACACAGAATGCAGCAAACACGCCTGATAACAGGGAAAGTGTGGCGCAGTGAATTATTTAATATTTCTCTTCTAGCCTTAGTCTTTATAACTTCCCCCAAAATGACTCTTTTTTCTAATGGATCTGGGTAAGAGTAGGTGGGATGAGATACTGATTTGATGACATGACTTGGTTGAGGATGTTAACAGTTCACTGAGACTGTAAAAACTTGAAATGCTAACGTGTATAAAATGAACCGTCTCAGAAGCATGATGGGGGATCACCCCACCATCAAAGAGCCAGGAGTGGAGTGCATCCTTTGAACCCAGAGATTCCTGCACATTCAACCTCCATGACCCAAGGGCAGAAAGCCGTAACACCAGAGGAGTGGCAGAGGAGCAGCAACAGAACCAAGAACCAGCATATGAGACTGAACAGTGGGCTTTCTAGCCCATAGAACAAGTAAAGCTGAGTGACTTTGGGCAGAAGGCAGGGTGTGGTGCCTCCAGGTACTTAGCTGGGATGGAGGGGGACAGGTTGGCTGACCCACAGAGCTAGAACAAGTTATCTTCAGGCTGAGCCTTATGGTGGAATGGTGTACCCTGTAAGCCCTAAAAGAGTTCTGTTGCCCAGGCAGAGAAGCTTGCCTGTGGGCACAGCTGAGGAAAGGCTGTCCTGTCTGGAAGAGCTGTGTCCTGAGAGTTTCTGCCCCTGTGTATTGTTAACTTCCCTAATAAAGCCCCATGACTGAGAGGATGGGGTCTGAGTTCTTGGTGGCTATTCCAACAACTTATCCAACTCGGATGAGAAGTAGAGTGCCATGAGACAGATGGTTTGGTGCCATTTTTGCAAACGTCAACTACTTGGAAAACAATATGGCATTACCTAATAAAGGAAGCCTGGTGTGATGCTGTAGGATAAGCCCTGGACCGCAAGGTCAGTATGAACCACAAAGTTGGTGGTTCAAACCCACCAGCCGATCATTGGTAATCATACGATCCTTTATACAGGGTCGCTATGAGTTGGAACCATTTGACGGCACTTAACAACAACGTAGTAAAGGTGAAATGCTTGTTTTTATTCAGAAACTACTGCACATGTGCTTCAGGGGATCCTCACAGTAGTGTTTGAAATAGTCATTAACTAGAAACCACCCTACTGTACATGTTAGATTAGATTACTGTTCACCAAGTGTTCATTCCTTCTCCTAACCTCAATAGCAGGAGTATACTTCTGGCCTCCCTGATGTTGGGCATGGTCGTGTGACGTTGACTTGTGTTAGCCAATGAACGTGCATAGAATTGATAGTGTGTTTTAAAGAGGCAATGCTTGTTTCTACTCACCTCTCTGAGAAGCTGCAACTTCTGCTCACAGAAGAACATGTCCCAAGTAGTCAACTGGTACCAGAAGAATGAGACACAAGGCACAGATATGCACCAAACTCATGGATTGGCTCCATACCCAGGTGGGATTGCAAGAGCTATCTCAACAGGCTGTAAATCTTCATTGGAGCAGAAAGTCTTATTTTTCTCCTGTGGGGCAGCTGATAGATTTGAACTACTTACCTTGTGGTTAAGGAGCTCTGGTAGTGTAGTGATTACGAGTTGGGCTGCTAACTTCAAGGTCAGCAGTTTGAAACAACTAGCTGTTCCACAGGAGAAAGATGAGGCTTTCTGCTCCCATAAAGATTTATAGCCTCAGAATTCCCAGAAACAAGGTTGCTATGAGTCAGAACTGACTCCAGGCCACACCGCCACCAACCTTGTGGTTAGTAGGCCATGCCAGTAGCGCTCATTGTTGTGTTACTGTTGTGTGCCATTGAGTCAGTTCTGAAGTCGGCTGGTGGATTTCAATATCAAGCTTGCAGTTAGTAGTCCAGTGTTTATTCGACAGTGCCACACCAGGACTCACCAGAGCACATTACACTTAAATAGTCAAAACAAAAAAGTAGTGTTTAAAGAGTAGGAAAGTACTAAAACCTATAAAAATTTCATGATATTGGTTACTTTAGGGAGAGAGAATATTGTAATTAGGAAGGGACAAAAGGAACTCCTAAGGCACTGGTTGTGTTCTATTTGTTAATCTGGAAAATGGGTATTTAAGAAAAACCAAATCATTCTAATAGAATTTTTATATGTCTTATACTTTTAAAGATGCTATTTTTTAAAAAAAAGTAAGGGTAGACCTCCTCTGGCTGGGAAAAAATCTATGCAGATATAAAACAATAACTATAAAGGTGTATCCAACAAGTTCCCAAGGAGAATTAAAACAGTGAGGGAGTGCTTCAGAAATTCAGAGGCAGGGAGGTTGCTGCAGTGGGGCTCAGTGGGGCAGGAGGTCCTGAGCGTGACCAACAGACTGTTGTTGTTATTGTCAAGTGCTATGAGTAGGTTCCAATTCACAGTGACCCTATACAAGAGCGGCTAGTGGGTTTGAACTGCCAGCCATATGGTTCACAGTCCAGTGCCGAATCTATAGGACCTAGGTATTTGGTGACAAAATACAGGTGACTCTGTGCAGGAGAAGGGCAAGCATCAGGTGAACACACCTGTGTGCTAGATCAAGTCTCCTCCAATTACAGCCAGAGAGAAAGCTTTGGGTAAGGAAAAGTAAGCAGGACATATCCTGAGTACTGGGCTCAAGTGTTGGATTTTAATGGATTGGATGGTTACAAACAGTTAACATGCTCCTCTGCTAAACAACCTCAGAAGAGAGACTTGGCAATCTACTTCTGGAAAACCAGCCATTAAAGAATCTGTGGAGCCAAGTTCTACGGTTACATGGGTTGGAATAGGGTCACTATGAGTTAGAATGGACTTGATGGCACTCAACAATTTTTTTTTTTTTTTTTAAACAAAAACAAAACTCTGGGACCTAGGAAAGAACTATCATCTACAAGTTTACTGTATTTGGAATCTACATTCTTTAAGGCTTGTTGTTAAGTGCCATTGAGTCGATTCTGACTCACAGTGACCTTGTGTAGGGTATCTGAGGAACAGCTGGTTGATCTGAATTGCTGTCCTTGTGGTTCACAGTCCAGTGCTTATCCTACAATGCCACACCAAGGATTATAACAGTGCTGCAAGGTAGATTTTACTAATGTGTTCATTAAGGCTCGGAGGTGCTAAAATAAGTTGCCTAAGGTCACTCAGCTAGTAAGTGTCAGAGATGGCATTTGCACAGATTTGCCTCTCCCTAAAGGAGCAGTGTGGCGCTGTGGGCTAATGCATCAGACTGCAAAGTCGTTTGAACTGTAAGGTCAGCGGTTCAAGCTCACCAGCTGCTTCTCGGAAACCCTATACAGGGTCACTATGGGTCGGAATCGACTCGATGGCACATAACAACAACAACAACAGTGGTCACCACTTGACTGCTAGTCAAAAGATGAGTGGTTTGAACCCAGGAGCTATTTCAGATGTGGCTGTAAAGATGTGGTGTCCATGAAAATTACAGCACTGGACAGTTTATTCTGCCCCATAGGGTCACTGTGAGTTAGAACAGACTCCGTGACAATGGATTGGTTTGGTTTTGTCTCTAAAACTTGAGTTCTTATTATTCCATGCTGCCAGCCCCCAAATATGCAAGGGAACAGAACCTAGGTGAAAAGTTACTGTTAAGGGTGATTGTAAGTGGTAGTGTAGTAGTTACGAGTCAGGCTGCTAACCTCAAGGTCATCAGTTCGAAACTACCAGCCATTCTGTGGGAGAAAGATAAGTCTTTCTGCTCCCATAAAAATTTACTGCCTCAGGTACCCTATTTAGGGTCACTATGAGTCAGAACCAACTCCATGGCACACCACCACCAGCATTTATAATCATAGTGCATTTCTTCTAAAAATGAAGGGATGCCTGATATCTTAATGCTTGTTCTTTATTTTATATGCATAGGGTATTGTGCATACACAATCTCTCAAGGATAGAAATCATAAATTTTGTACTCAGGTTGGGTTATCAGTTCCCAGAAATTGAAATTTTGTAAGCCACTATTATGAGCATGACACTGTGTTCTGTGTGGAAGGAAATATGAAGGAAATATCAGATTATGGCTCCAACAGACTTCCATCCAAATTGGGCGATTGCTCAGCTACAGAAAACTAAGCAGCAACCGCACAAGGAGAAACGTCAGGGCTCCCAAGGCAGTGTTGATATGAAGGACTGGCAGTTTCATAGCAATTACTGTAGGTAGGGATTTTCAGCCAATATGTGCAGGAAGCAAGGTCCTAAGCAAGACTTGGGGAAGATGGGAACTGCCTTCAACACATATTCTCATGAGATATCTGACGTGTGTGAGTGTGGTGCTGGTAAGTACCACTGAGTTGGTTCTGACTACTGGGCTTCCAAGGAGGGCGGGTGCGTTTGAATCAACCTTGAGGTTAGCAGTTCAGTGTTTATCCTATGGCATCATACCAGGACTCTACAAATCCTTAAACTGAAAGCTACAATAGAGCACATCAGATAAAGTGCCAGAGTTCCTTCCATTTTCTCAGATAGCTGTCATTGCAAATTTCCTGCCAAAATAGTAGCACTTGTTTACTCCTCCTGTATTAACTGACCACGAAGCCTCAGTGTACCATTTGCCTAGACCCATGGCACTGCAGGTTCATGTGCTGAACTGCAAAGTCAGTTTGATCCTTAAGGTCGGTGGTTCAAGCTCACTAGTCATTCCTTGGAAACCCTATACAGGGTCACTATGGGTCAGAATTAACTTGTCGGCACTTCACAACAACAGTGCCATAGTGGATTAAGCATTGGGTTGCTATCTGCAAGATTGGTGGTTTGAACCCACCAGTCACTCCAACAGGGATAAAATGAAGCTGTC